TCTCCCCCAGGCCTGCCGCGGGCTGGCAATGGAGCCCCAGCACCTTCCCTGTCACCCTCTGCACCTCCTGGCAAAGGAGGGGCTGCAGGAGCTGAGCATCCTCCACCAAACACCTATTTGCTGCCAGGCCTCGGCAGGGAGATGCTCCTGGAGGGTCCCCAGTTGCCCCCTATAGCACAGATGGCCTTTTTGAGTGGAGCTGGAGGCTGTGGTTGGTACCACACAGCATCTCCACCATGTCCTGTGTCACCTGAGAGGAGAAAAAGGGCCCTGGGCCAAATCCTGCCTAGTTCTCTTACTGGGGACCAGCCCTTCACTGGGTGAAGCTGTGCCTGGCAGCCCAGTGTGGGGACCCCTGCTCTGCTCCTGGGGGTGCGACAGGGCTTGTCTCCAGGGGGGGGGCGCTCCTAAGCCTACACGGGCAGGTGACCTCCACGGCAGGTGAGGGATGGCCCAGCTCCATGGGGCCTTGGGGACGGCTGTGGCCCCGGCCTTGGGGGCTGCTCGCTGCCCAGGTGCCCCCGTGACGGTTCTCCTCTCTCCTCTGTCAGGGCCACAGAGCCACCAGACCCCGGGCAGCTGCCCCCCTGGAGACAGGGTCTTCTCCCACCAGTTCTTGCGGCCTGAGCAGCTCCTCGAGGGGAAGGTAACTGGGCCAGCTGGGGACCTGACGTGCTGGGTGCGAGGGCCACATCTGGGGCTCTCAGCCCAGCTCTTGTTGCACTGGGGACACAGGGGACTGGGTCTTGAGGACACTGGGGACAGGTGGGTCTTGCCCAAGGAGGTTCTATCGTCTTGCCTGGAGCAGCCAGGTCCTTCCAGCCCCTGCAGCCACCATCACTGCCTGCTCTTTGCCCCATCCTCTCCCCAGGATGCAGAAGCCATTTACAATTGGCTGAGCGAGTTCCAGCTGGAGTCGTACACCTCCAACTTCCTCAACGCTGGCTACGATGTCCCCACCATCAGCCGCATGACCCCAGAGGGAAGGCAGGGCCCTTTGGCACAACACGACCAAAACCGGCAGCGGGTACCCACTGCCCCACGCGCCCCATGCCACTGCTGACCACAGCCCCGCTCTGCTCGCGTTAGGATCTGACAGCCATCGGCGTGACCAAGCCGGGCCACAGGAAGAAGATCTCCACCGAGATCGGGCAGCTCAGCATCGCCGAGTGGCTGCCCAGCTACATCCCGGTGAGTCCCTGGCGCTGCGGCTTTGGTCTTCTTTTTGCCAGGTCTTTTCTCAGAACTGCCTTACCCCAGGACAGGACAGGAGAGGGGTCTGTAAGTAAACACATGCTGCAACGGCTGCGTTAATGCAGTCAGAGAGACCCCAGAAATGCAGCCTCCTGGCCAGGGGCAGGGAGGGGATGGATGAAGGTGCTGTCCGTGCCTCGGTGCTCACGGTAGCGTCTCCGTGCTCTGCGCAGGCTGACCTCATGGACTGGCTCAGTGCCATCGGGTTGCCCCAGTACCACAAAAAGCTGCTGAACAACGGCTATGACTCCATCACCATCGTGACGGACCTGACGTGGGAAGATCTGCAAGAGATAGGCATCAACAAGTTGGGTGAGTCCCTGCCACCGTGCTGGGGTGGCCCAGGGCAGCCGCATTTCCCACCCAGGTCCCACACCCCGTTCTCCCTCAGGCTGGGAGGTGCAGGCATGTCCGGAGCACCCAGAAAGGGCAGTTCATGGCTGTCCCTCAGGACTCCCCTTGGCAGGCTGGAGCCAGGCTGAGCCGGGTGGATGCTGGCCATAGTTTGTCTCCTCCCACAGGCAGGGTTTGGATAACCTGGGGGCTTTTGCCCCGGTTGGTGACGTGACCATGATTCTTCTTGGTCAGGAAACAAAGGCCTTCGGGGTCTGCAGCCGACCTAACGCCCCTCTCCTGTTGCAACCTTCCTGCAGGCCACCAGAAGAAGATCATGTTGGCCGTCAAGAAGCTGAGAGACCTCCGCAAAAGCCTTAACCAAACAGAAGCAACTCTGGCAAGACGCAAAGTCCCCGGTGCCCTGGACATCGTCACCATCGAGTCGCTGGAGAACGGGGAGTGCCAGTCCCCGCACACCCCCAAAATGACGACCTTCCAGGACAGCGAGCTCAGCTATGAGCTCCAGACAGCCATGTCCCAGAGAAGACGCAAAGTCCCCGGTGCCCTGGACATCGTCACCATCGAGTCGCTGGAGAACGGGGAGTGCCAGTCCCCGCACACCCCCAAAATGACGACCTTCCAGGACAGCGAGCTCAGCTATGAGCTCCAGACAGCCATGTCCAACAGCTGCCACGAGACGCTCGGCATCAAGAGCAGCCAGGGGATGTTACGCAG